CACACACACACACACACACATATATATATATTTCCCCCCCAGGAAGAAAGTCCACAGCTTTTTTTAGATTCCTATGAAGGCATATTATTCCTAAATGGTTCAGAACTACTTCTTTCACATGTACGAAAAAGTCATTGATGCTTATGAATATGACATGAATAAGACATTTCTTTTTAGTGAACTCTGGGTGAATTTATACTATGAAATTACTTCAGATTGCAGGATTTTTCACACTTACATGCACAACCCCATGAATGAAATTCCTTGATTATTATCTTAAACTTTTAATTAATACACATTTTATCTCTTACTCTACTGAGCTACTAATTAAATTTGACTTTTTTATTTTAAAAATAGGTATCAAAATTAATTCAGGTAAATAGTCATAAGGAAATTTAAAGAAGATAAGATGTATAGAACTGGAAACTGAATTGACAGAATTCTGAGATCTTGAAGGGATTCAGTTCTTTATGGTTTAATTTCGAAAGTTCGAAAATGGTAGTTTTATTTTGGAATATTATTAAGTTGTCTTCTGGAAAGAATATAGATTAGGTTCCAGTTTGCTTAGTCTCCAGGAATATCTCACGCTAAAAGTTCCAGATAGCAAATGAGATCAGCAAAATTGGAGGAGTAAAGACCTTTAACAATTTTCATCTCTATAAAAGCAAGGGGAAAACTGGCAAAAATTGTTAGAATCAACTTTTTCAGAATGCTGGAAATTAACCAAAGGCTTGCAGCTATCCAGGAAGGATTAGTCAAGGGGAAAAAAAGGTGATTCTTGATAAGAACAGTGAGCTTGTGGCATTTTAACTTGCCCCATTCCCATTCTCCTCTCTCCAGCTCCAGAATAACCTTGAAAACAAACAGTTCACAATCGTGGTGAAAACTAGGAGCCTGGTTGCCACCAGAGGAGGCAGCACAGAGGTGGAACAGCTTCAAAGCCTCATGCCCAGGAAATTGTCATTATGACCTGTCTGGTAGTTTCCTGGAAGACCCTACTTGCAAGGCTTGTCTTTATTTGGCCTGACTTGTAGGTCACCTGCTGTAAAAAAAAAAAAAATTTCCAAGGGCATTTGTTGAAAATTTTTAGAGGCAGTTATTTAACTTCACAGCTCCATGAGGTAAAAGATAACAAATCTCTAACCTAAAAGCTTAAAAATAAAAGCTGGGTAATGAGATGTCTATAGGGGTCTTGAAAAGCTACAACATATCCATGGGAATCAAGAAGACCATGCACATGTGTAGGATTGTACACATGCTCAGGAAAGACCTAAAAAGGCTTTAAGCGCTCAACTCTGGCTGACTTTCAGGCTGAGCAACCAGGAATTAAATGCTAAGGCAGAGTTGTCAACTCCCGGACTGAATTTTGAAGGTATCTCTCTCTCACACACACACACACACACACACACACAC